AGATTGCACCTGCATATGTGATATTGCTTCGTATTAGCTTTCTATGTTTCTTAAGAATCTAGACGTAGGATAAAATAATTAAACTAATTAAAAACAACAAATGTTATTCCCACTTAGAAGAATTTATGTTTCCTGATCTGTGGTAAAACTTTCTATGAATAAACGATTTATAATTCTATTATATTTAAAAAAGAACAAACTTAACTCGTATCTATATATTGCAACTTCTTTCAGACGTGCCAGATGTTTTTCATAACGATTCAAGTTGCTGATCCATTTAAGGGGCACCTTAAGTCTAGTAAATATAAGGCACCATTGCTAAGAGGTGTACGCTGTCTCATGAGAGTCGTTGTGAATTATATAAAAATTAAAAGATTTATTGGTGCATATCAGGTATATATTTTATATTATTTTATTGATACACTGTGTTATATATTATATAAAAGTTTAACTATAAAAAAATGATTAAATAACAAAACAAACTTCCAACAATAACATATTAAACCTATTAAAAATATTTAAACTAATAAATTTCAATATAATATATTTTTAAATTTCATTTATGCTATCTATAGCTTTAGGTTTTGCTGTAGTTGTTGTAGTAGTAGTAGTAGTAGTAGTAGTTGTTGTTGTTGGTTCTTCAGCTCCTTTAATAATTAAAGCATCTCCAAAGATGGGTTTGAAAAACAACATAAAACGAGCATAACGGCGTGCAGAATTCTAAGTAAATAAATAAATTTGGTATTGAGTTATAATAACAGTTAATGTTAGTTTAACAGCTTTAAGCTTTCTGCAATCTTACAGTGCAGAAGAAGCTTTTATGTTAATCAAAAATTTTACTTTAACATTTTATTTAAATAATTTTATAGCAAATAGTGACTTACCATAAGAAAGCGCGAGATTGTTTTAGATACATTTGTTAAAGTTGCAAACGAGTTATTTAAGAGTTCATCAGGAAAATCAACTGACACGTTGGTTCTATCAAATTCAGGTGTGTCATCATTGTTCTTAGTCGTTGCTCGAGTTTTTCTTATATTGTCCATTGTAGATTTCAAGTATTGCTGGAAAATAAAAAAAATTTTTTTATTTTATAATATGATATTATGAAGTCTATTCAAATAATTACAAAATATGTGTGATATTTTTATTATAATAGAGTAAATATTTTTTTAGATAATGATGCAAGTATCTTTTTCTTACATATCTTTCTTTCTTTAGAATTTTACCTTCGTTTCTTTCTTTTAATAAATGACTAAGACAGCGGATTAAAAGCATATTTCATTAGAAATATTTCGTAAAATGCTTCTATACTTCCACCGCATAAAATCATTTATTTTATGAAGAACTTTAATTAGTAATAAAAGAAACCTTAAAGATTTATTCTTCATAAAAAATATAGAGAAATTTTTTAGTATTCACGGAAATGATAAATTCTTAATATTTATAATAAACATTTAGCCAGAGAGCTCTTCATAGGTTAAAATTCCCTTGATATACATCAATGTACTATATTTACACATATGTATATTCATAATTAAAACATAATGACTGCTTAAAAAACCAAAATATATACCTAATTACTGAAAGTGTCTGAAAGCCTCACCCGAATTTAATTTTTGGCTATAGGCCTAGTATACAACAATAATATTGAGGCTCTCATACATTTAACACATAGTCTATAAGAAAAATTTTTTGTCATTAAAATACATTCAAACCTAACCCACTCGGTGTTATACAGTGTTTACACCCAGACTTATCGAACCTTTTAAGCATATTTTTATATGACTTTTGTTTGAAAAATGGTACAATCGCTGCATATTTGTCGTATTAAATGCAATGTGTTTTAACTTTCATTAATATTTCTAATTTTTATTTTATTAATTATTGTAATAATTTATCTTATTTATAAAAGTAAAAACAAATTAAATAAAATAAAGATATATAATGCTAATTTCAGTGACCAGCGTAAGACACATATAACCTCATTTACTGATAGACATTTTTGGGCTTTGGAGACATACATTTTAATTGTATATTTGTTCATTGAATTAAAATATATGACTCATACCCATAATATAGTATGCAGGCAATAGAACTTAATTAAATGAGTCACTAATTCAGGTTTATATGCATATAATTTTGACAAAATGCAATTTGCATTAAAATATCTAAAAGGTTTTTACTACACAACTGCCAACTAATTTTATCTTATGTGACCAAGTAGACTATTATGTATATGTTCATATATATACATATACACACAAAGAATTATTTATAAATAAATAGTGGTCACAAATTTTTAAGCTTAATTGATTAAGAAGATTGGTATTACCTTACTTATAAAAGTAATTATTTGAATACATAAAAACAAAAACAAACATTTTAAAAAAATTAAATAAATTTTTGTCCTTGTCTTTTCTTTGCTATTCGAATTCGTCACAAAAGACAGAAGTCGTTTTCCGAATTCACAGAAATGCTAAGATATACTAAATAATAAATGTGGTGACATCCCGTTAATATATTTGCTTTACATTAACTTTCTTAAATTGTAAATCAATTAAAATGTAATTTGAATACACTGCAGTTCAAATTTTTATGAATAATAATTCGCATTTACTTTGAAAGTTGTAATTCATATAATATTTATGATTGTATGTTAGGTGTTAAACTACTTTAATAAAAAACAGAACTGCAATTTAGATTTAAGGTTTTGGCAACATAAAACGAACATTATTTTGATGTGATGTTATTTGAAATCATGTAATATTTTACTAAGTTAAAGAAGTTACCTCTTTATTTTTTAAATTTATGTAAATAATTCCTAATAGTCTCACTGAGTTTTTTGATAAAAAATTGTTCTTAATGTGAACTGTCTTAATATAATCAATGCTAAGAAAAATATTGCTTAACCATCTGGTAAATTAATTGTTTTCTTAGATTGACCAGTTTTAATCGATAAAAGTACTTTCAACAACCATGCAAACTTGCTTTTGAGAAAGCTTATTAATCGTGGAATGAGTTAATTATTAAATATTGATATTATAAATAAAGAAATTTTTGGAACAGTAGTTAACTACAACAATAAAAATTCATTTTATGTTATTTTAATTAATTAAATTTTTGGCTGACCATACAGCTTTTTCAAGTATTGCCAAATACCTATCATCAGTGGTCTTGGAAATATTTCTTGTATTCAATTGTTCGTAAATAATTTTTTGAGACTGCAAGTACCAGGAATCGAACTCGGGTCCTGCTAAAATTAAAACTCAGAGTCAGCGCATCTTAACCAACTGACCCAAAATCGTACTTGAGTTTTATGTTCGCACATTTTTCTGGAGTTCTGTTACTTTCCTATAAAAGTTTAATTAACAAATTTACTTGCTGTGTTTATATTAGAAATCATAAATCAGCTGTAGAACAATTTAATTATTGAATTATTGAAACAATGCCTCTACAAACAGAATAGTATGGAAATATAATAATTAAAGATATACAAAAAATGTATTTAATTAATTATTAATTTTCAATGACTTAGTAGGCTCATCAACCGATTATGGAATCCCTACTACGTCTCCTATCATAGTGTTGAATCAGTGAAGTATGAGGAAAATATTACTAACTTACACTGCCACTGCATGGCATTGGCTTATAGGAAAGTATCCACTCCAGCATATGCTTTCATATATAGTCGCGACACGACAGTCGTACTTTCAAAAATTATAAATCACTCCCTATTTCCACGATTAAAAAGTTACTGTTCTCCAAGTCAATATATAAAAACATTGAAATTAATTTTTAAAATAATTAAAGATGTATGTGTAACATTATTTATAAAATATGTATTTTTTTTATTTCAAAAGTCTTCAATTTTTTTTTTTAAATCTTTTATTTTAATTTGAATGTTTTACATGAGTTTGGTGTTTTTTTTTGTGCGAGTTCTTCAGAAGAGTTTTTTTTTGTTAGATTTACTCGCAATTCTTTCCCTCGCTTTAGGTGATGATTTGTTCTCTTAAATAAACTTTATCACCCAGTTCATGGCCTGCATATACCACATAATTTCATATTTTGAAGACGTAATATACGTCTACACAATTTTAAAAGGTAATTGGCTATACATCTTCAGGTAAATAGCTTTGAGAAATATTGTCTATCGATCTTTTAAATACATTTACAGGATCAAGTTATACTGATAACGGAAAGACTATTCCATAGTCGAGCAAGCAAGTCAAATACAACTTTTAAAATCATATGTTTTATAATAATATCACCGAAAATTTATACTTCATTAAATGAGAGTGAGAGTACGAAAGATTCGAGTGCTTACGCATATAAAAAAATGAAAGCGAAAAAGCCGATCAGTTTTTTTTAATAACACGAAAATTAAAAGAGCTTAAGTACCAAAGAAAAAGTTGAAAGTTTAAAGATTGTAAAGTTTTGATTCTTAAAGCTGAAAGTTTCGCGACTATTTGTATTATCGGAGGTTGAAAGTACTAAGCCACAACTCTCTAATCCAAACTTAAACTTCAATATTGGACTCCAAAAATATTTTATTCTTGATTTTTTATCTTCATATTATTTAAATATTTTCGACTATATATGTCTTTTTATTATCTGTAAAAAATGTTCTTACAAAGTACTATCTTAAGAAGAAACCTAAAATAAAACAATTTCGCATTTATTGTTTACACCAAAAAAGGAATAATATCGTTTATTTTGTTTTCTCTATCGAATTGGACAATTTAATGAATATATTTACAATTGTGATATGTATTCGTACTTATAAATTTAAAGACTAAATAATTAATTGAACCAATTAAGCTAAAATAGGTACAATATAGCCAAATTTGCTTATGAGTGAACAAACATTTTCACTTATTAACTACACAAAAACAAAAACGAAAACAATATTTTAATATATAAATTATAATATTGAAAAAAATATAAAAAAAAATTATATATAAAAACAGGAAACAAAAAATTAATTAATTATGCTACAAAAATAATTTTAATGTTGAATTTGTGACGAATTTTGTTGCTGCAAATCAGATGAAGATGCATAATTTTTTAATCTAAATTTGAGTGCCTAAAATTATTTAACAAATGAAAGCAATAAACGATAAACGTTGCTGTTTTGTTATCGATGTTATCGCTTTTCGATAAAATATAAGTTGCTTTATTAAATTACTTGAGCTTAGTAGCCAGCTTCATCAGAATCAGGTGCTGGTGTGCTGCTGCCAGCACCACCGCCTGCTGAGCCTTGCAAAATTGGACCGGAGAATCCTAAAAATTTCGAAACAATATTACCCAAGCCTTGATTGGCATTACCATTGCCAGCTGATGAACCGCTGAATGCAGTAATTGTGGTCAAAACGCCTGTAGTTAAATCGTTAGCAATGTTGCCCAATGAGCGGATTTTCGGTTGTACTACAGCGCTGACCAGAGTTTGTAAGTCTTTAATTGGTACTGGTGGCTTGATATCATATTGTTTATTCTTTTCGATATTCGACTTGTCCAATTGTTCGACAATGCGCGTTTTGGTGTCGAGGAATTGATCGATTTTCTAAATATATATTTATTTATAAATAATTAAAAAAATTTTATTAATAAAACATTGAAATATTTAAAAACCAAGTTATATGTTAAATACTTACACCAAACACAAAACCAAGAACAGCGTTTTTAGCTTCAAATGTGGCATCGGGTAATTTTCTTTTGTTTCGTTCTACATCGTCGATGGGTGCTTCCTAGAATGGTACAGGCGTAGTATGGTTAAAAATGTTCATTCTTTTACAGACAATTTCAGCACTCAAGTATTTTACACCAAATTCAGTTTATTATAGTCAGTTTTGAATTTATATGGAAAGCAAAACAAAAAACTGTGAGATGATTGACCTTCTTACTTTTAGACTCAAAGATTTCAAGTGTCGCCTAAGATTGGTTAGTCATATTCTTAGAAAAATAGTATTTATTTTTTTAATAAAATTAAATTATTGAAAGTTGTTTTACGTGACTCCAGCATAAACTTCAAATTACGAAATAACACCAATACAGCATAGTACACACTTAAATAAATATATTTATATATATACTTGAATATATGTATCTGAAATACTAAAAATACTATTCTGTATTCTGTACTAATCTTTGACAATCTGAACATGCAAGAAATATTTTAATTCCAAAGAAATTAATTAAAAAACGTATTAGGCTTGCAATTGCTAAGTCAATTGGTCAGAAAATTATTTGGCTTAAACTATGTTAAATATTAGTGTTTTATTCGTTTTTTTATAAAAATTTTGCTTTTGATTTTTGCTTTAATTACAACGATATGCAAAAATCCGGTTTCAAGTTTATATATAATTTTAATATCAATAAACTGACTTGCTGTGGTCTGTCTTGACCCACATATTGGTACCAAGTCAGATATTTCATAATTATATTTTTTAAAAAGTTATAAATGTAACTCAAGAAAATAATATGCAATCTCCTGGTGCAAAACCTAACCAAACACCAAGTGAAGTGCTATTGGAAGGTTAAGAAGGAGTAAATATTTAAAAAAAAGTCAGAAAGGTATATTTTAAAATTAGACTCTCATTGCAAACAAAATATTTTAATTATTTCTATGCATTCATACAATCATTAGGATCATTTAATCCGGATTAAATGAAATAATCATTAGATTTACAATTCTGTTTAATTAATAATGCATCAATGTTTGCTTAGTTATATCTACTTAATGTCTGTGAAGACTATTGACTTTGAACAACAGAACTCTATTCAAAAGAAATAAGTACAAAATGAACATCCTAATAAAATGGAAAATACATTTCACATATAACACATATTCTTCGCATGAAAAACTAAGATACATTGCAAGCTAATTGCTATGATACCAAACCCCATCTAAGAACCGGAGCCATAATATGTAGACAGTCATATGACAGTCAGAAGTGGCCATTTCACAGTAAAGTCTCGATTATCAATTTCATACTGTTACCACTATTTTATTATTGTCTGTGATATAAGTGACTTATAATGTTTTGTTTCAGAAGATGCCCTTATATTCTCTGCTCTTCTTGTACAACTTTTAACTTACATCAAAAACAACAAGCATTTGCATTTGTTGTGACTATGACTACCGCATCTATCTTATATCTAAGACTGTTCTGTTCAGCGCACTAATTCAGTTATCATTCTATATTTGGCTATATCACAAAGAATAAAAGCAGTTATTTATGAACGAACCTTTGTCACTCTGTGACTATTTCCATATAGAATGCAAACTCCTTGTAAAATTTCTATTTAATTAAATTAGTGGAGCTAAACTAGTTTACCTTTATAAGATTTGTAAGATTTGTCACACAAAAAAATTGCAATACTAGGGTTGATTAAAGAGATTAGGTAAGTTCCCAATCTTAGTGAACTGGGATCTTCTATTAACAAACAATAATAGGTTCATTTATACGGTTGTTTAAAATTATTAGGTACATAAATAAATAAATTGTAATATATTATTGTGTTATAATTATATGGCCTGTACACTCTTCGTTCTGTATTTACTTCACTTCCCAGGAAATGGAAGTCTTTTGTGCTTAGTTACAGAATATTCTTAAACCATTCCTAATAAACTCTAATCTTTTGAATGTTTTGCTTTTAAATTGTATATCATTAAGTAATTATAAAGTACCTAAGTAATATATTATTATTAATATTAAGTTTTACAAACTTCGTTTTAATTACAAAAAATTTACATTTTAATATTTGCAACATTTATTAAAAATAATTTTTTTGACCTTATAACAATTATGCGCAAATGTTTACAGGTTAAAAGATTTGTAAAAATAAGACATAAAAAATTTTGTGCATGTCATTATCCAAATTTAAATTTTATGGATGTTGGCAGATATGAGTACAGATATATAGATATAAGTGCGAAATATATATTTGTCTAAAAATAACGCAAAACTGACCTCTAACACTTAACCATTGAGATATGCAGAGATTGATATCTAATAAATTATATCAATAAACAAATTAACAAATTAGCAATTCGACTTTTAACTTTCAGATTTTTGCAGGGATATAAACAATTAACTGAATATGTGCTAAGTTATATTCAATGTCATCATAAGATATCTTGATTTAAAACAATTCACCACTGCAAATAATGCAATTTATTTTAATTAAAAGTGTTAACAAATTTTACATTTGTGAATGTTGTTTTTATAGATAGTATCCCAATTATGAAATTAATTAATATAATATTAATATTAATTAATATAATATATTGTTTACTTGTAAAAAATTAAAGGATCTTAACATTATTTTTAACAGAACTAATCATACTGTTAAGATACACAAATTCGTACGATTACACATGACAGAGCAAAATGACTGCTGTTAAGGAATTAAATATAATATTTTAAGAATAATGTTATGTTAGTTACATGCACTGTTCTAATTGAACGACTGCTATAAATGAGTACAATAAAAAGCTAATTAAATTTTGTTTGTTGGATTAAATGTTGATTAAATGATAAATAATGGACATCATTGCAACAGAATTATATGAAAATAGGGTATAAAGTTTTAACAGTAATATAGACTGTTTTTTATATGTTCTCTTAAATTTTTTATTTTAAAACAGTAACACAAGAAACTGAAAACATTACAATTAGTATAGTAAAATCTATTAATTTAACAAATCAGTTTAAATTTTACATTTACAATGATTGGACACTATTAAAAACTAAAATGATATTTACGATCTTGAATAACGAACTCGCTAATCGAGTAACATAATAACAACTAACAGCGAGTAATTGAATTTTGTTTTCAATGCTTTTACTGTTAATGTTACTCTTTTACCAATTGTTTTATTTCAGATTGCGAAATCAATTTAAATGTTTTTATAAGTCTAAAGATCATGATGCAGTATTCCTTCTTTAAAATCGAATTCATTTCGAGCGAGCGATAAATACGCTGTGGGCGTATTAGGCGCTGCGATATAACAACACCAGGATGTTTTGTGTTACCAACATTTTGTTAATTTGTTATTAGGTATTATGGTAAAATTAACAAAGTTTAGTTTTTCTTACGTGCTATTTATTATAAATGGTTTAAATTCTTTGGGATCAAGGAAGTCGTATTTATTTAACGTGTAATGAACCAAAAATTTTTAGAAATTTAATATATATTTGCAATTTAAAATCATAAATATCTAAACCAGTGACGACTGCTCTAAGGTGCGGAGGTGTGCGGTGAACACCCTAATATAATTTGCAAAATGTTAAATAACATAGGTATATAAATTTATTAAGTATCTTTACATCAAGAATTATTATTATTTATTACATTTCCATATAAATATATATTTTTAAAGTTTTAGCAAAAACAATTAAATATAATTGTCTATGAAAACTCAATTAATTTGCTTCTGTTAGCCGCTATACTTGTTAGTTGTGCTCATATATTTGCAGCTCAAATCACAGAACATTTCTATTATATTTCGTCTCTCCCCTTTGTGTGCTAAGAAGTTGGCCGCACATTCATACGTTACATATGAACAAAATAATGTGCGTGTGCTCCCGTTCGTAATATCAGAAATAGAGATTTATATAGTGGGAATTGTATGAGAGTAATTTTCTGTTCTACTCGAATATCAACTGCACGCATACGAATCCAACATGATGATTTGCCAAAGTGGTTGCATGAGCGGCTGAAGTTTGCAGCTCATCTCACCATACATTTCTATCACATTTCGTCTCTCCCCTTTTAACAGCAGCACCCACGAATTTCTGTTCTTATTGTGCGGGGTATTTGTGCGCACATTGCAAGTGGTTTCAATTTTGTTTGATCACTGCACAAACATGTATGTTTCTAAGTACAAACTCTTTTGTTTGAAAAATTTTGGTTTGATGTTACGAGAATTATGTAAAAAGTTTTGTTTCTTCCATATTGATATAATATTAAACTTGTATATAAATTATTAATTTAATTTGTTTAATATGTTATTTTGTTAATGAATTGTTAATATAATATTGCGCGAATATATTGTTGCCTTATATAATATAGTTATTAATAAAAGATCTCATATATTTTAATATAAGTGGTACATGTAAAAACAACATTAAAGAAGGGCCGCACACCCTTCCAGATAGGGCACGCGTCGTCACTGATCTAAACCATTAGTTGCTCTGATTTTTGAGAATAAAAGTATAATCGTCGACGTTAGTTAAGTAACAGATTTCTCTAAGTTCATCAAATGCAATTGCTGCTGCAAAGACAAAGATACAATGCAGTTGAGTAATTGTCTAATACTTAACTCTAACATGAATTCGTCTGGAAGGCGCAAACTAGTAAAAAGGCGCAAACTTAATAAGTAACGAGTTAATTAAGTTTATACATGATACATGTATAAATGCAAAAGAATGTTATGGGCCAATTGAATTAATCAAACTCTGGACAATATTTAATTAATTTTGTAGTCTTACTGAAAACGTGTTGCTTAGGAGGTTTATTTAGAGAATTATTTGATTAAAATCAAAATTATTCTTCTAAGTATTTATGAATACAAGTATATAAATTTTATCACCACAACCTTAAGTTCATCAGTATTTAAAAATAATAAATAATTGTTTATTTGACATTCGTCTCCTCTGGCATAGGCAACCTTGCTCTTAACTCCATAACGGACATACAAAACACTTAAAAGTGTCTGCTGAAAAGCCTTTTTCAAGTTCAAACAACGATTTTCAACGATTTCAACAAATTCAACAACGTTTTTTAATGTTTTTAATGTTCACAGTTCGCATTCTGCACTTGTTTTGTCATTGTTCGTTATTGGATTTTTTTATTACTGTTAACATTTTTGTTAACAATTATTTTAAAATTGTTTTAGTTAATTTATTTGATGCCATTTTTATTTTTATTTATTTATACTTCTTCTTATTTTTTGTTTTATTTTTATTGTTGAAATTTTCAGTGCTTCACATGCTTTGCATACACATGACAAATTAAATTAGAAAAACTTAACATGAGGCAGAAGAATTGACCATAAATCGGCGAGTACTGAAATTGTTTATAAAAATTAACAATGAACAATAAACAGTAAACAACAGGCATTCACTATAAAAAACAAAAGAAGAAGAGTAAAGAAAAGAGCAGCAAAGTGTGCTGCTGACCGTTAAGACGGCACACTTCCAGCAACGAGTAAAAAACTCTTCAACAGAGAGCCATCCACATACCAGAAATATGTTAAGCTCAAAGCTTTACAGCGCGAGCATTTGGCAATGTTGAGTCAGCTCGACTAATAAAGAAAGGCAATAAAGTAGTCGAATTGTCATATAACAGCAAAAACTGACTGACCGACTGTCTCAGCGCTATTGATGATGGCTTATTGGCCACATTTAATCGCATGAACATTATAAAATTGCATAATATTTTCTTAACTTTATTGTTGTTTTTGTTATTTCTGTTATTGTTGTTGCTGCTGTGGTTGTCATTGCTGTTGTTGGTATATTTACGCCTTTGCGTTAACTCGGTTTACTTTGCTTTTGCCTCTTTTTCGCTTTATTTGGCTGCGTTCAGGGCAGTCAATGTTTATAAAAATGTTATCGTAGGTCGTTTTGAAGAGCTTCGTATGGTTGTTTTTGTTTTTGTCTTGTACTATGTTGTTGTTGTTGTTGTTGCCATTATTTTTATTAACTGACAACATTTTTATTTTTTCATTTTTATATTTTTTGGATTCTTTGATGATTGAATTTTAAATTGTAATTGAGTCAACTCGAAACCTCGTTTTCGGGGTGTACGTCAAGGTCATTCGTGTATGTTATATACTTAAAGTGGGTTTGTGTTCATTTTTGTAAGTGTTAATGACTCTTTTAGTTGGTATTTTGAAGAGTGTTTTTACATTTTTATCATAATTTTGATCGACTTGAGTTAAGTATGAAATTATTTTGAAATAATTTTATGGAATTTTAACAAAATATTCGTCTCAATTTAACCGGGGGAATTTTCCAACACTGGACTAGTTTCGAAGTAGAAGATGTTTAGCGATATGCGTTGATAACGTATCTATCTTTCACGTGATAAAATAGTAAAATTATTAAACTTTTTTTTCTTGCTTTTTTTCTAATAGATGATATATCATCAGTGAACAGTATAATTTACCCTAATTATATAAAAAATACAGTAAATTATAGATAAAAAATTACTAAATCCATTTAGTAATTATAATTACAATACAGGAATAATTTATGATATATGCTTGAGAGATAACCGAAGTTTGTAAGTTAAAGCATTAAATATACTTAACGTATATTTATATATCACAAGTTTGTAATTTTTAATGTTGAAAAGTGTTTACACATATCCTTATATTTTAATATATATCCTTTGCTCAAAAATAATATAAATAAAGTATATTTGATTTGTTTTTAGAAAAAATTTTTCATTAATAATGCAGCCAACTTCTAAGTTACTAATTTCCATGTTAAATTAAGAAAAATTTCGATAATTATTTCAGTTTCATACCTCTCTAAAACCTATGTTAGTTTTTAGAATGACCTATAATCTAATTGGCATGTTAGTATAAAATAATCTAGAAAAAAATGTATTCAATTTTGAGGTTCTTTTTATATCTCTACAATTAATTGAATAAATACAGTTAGTACCACTTGTTCTTACTAATAAAGCTTAAATCATCACCATAAGGATAGCACTGCATCCATTAAAAAATAAATAAAATATCTTTGTAATAAAATTTAACTTATTGAGTTTAAAGATTAACAAACGTAGCTAAGCACTAATAGCAACAAAAAAAATTTAATTTTTATTGAAAGTATATTCATATTCATTTTATCCTATTTTGAATAAATAAAATACATATCTTTTGATAATAATGGACTAAAGTGTATTAACAGCTATTATTATTGAATGCGACAATTGAATCTATTATTGTTTTATTACTTTAAACCATTTGTATTCGTTAAGCTAGAAAATTTATTTACCAGAAATGGTAGCATATGCCAAATTTTATTTTTTTTCACTAATTTTTATTCACATTATAATACTACTAGGTTAGGTTAGATTATACCGGTGATCCGGCGACATACTCAATCCTATTAGGTCACTGTGTTACCGTTTAATAAACTAAGAGGTTTAAAAAGGTCTTTAACATTTGTCAAAGCTTAAAATGCCTTTTAGCTTAGGGTTCTGGAGTTGGCCAACATCCTCAAAAAAGGAAGCAACTGAAATAGTAACTTAGCACAGCACATGCACTAAGCAGTAACAAAGCAGATGTGAGGCACCTATATCTTTCTCTCCACAACTGCTTTTAGAAATGCTTAATTGGCAGATTTAATCTTCTCATATGGATTTTTAATCGGCTGTGGCCCGGCATCAAGAGTGATAAGATATCACGCGGCATCTCATTGAGAGTATTGAATTTTTTTTCTTAAAAAAACGTGGCAAAGGATGCCTACATATCGTTTGATTCGTTGAATTAAATTAAAATCTTATTCGCAATTGATTTTAATGACTATCCTCTAATCGAGATACAGCACACGTTCTAGATTTTAATAATGCCTTTATATCAATGTCTACAGTTTTTCAAGTTTTAATCTTTGAACTTTAACAGCGACTGTAGACTTCAACATTGCAGTACACAAAGCTTTAACAGTCAAACACACTTTCAAAGAATTCTTGTGTTAACATTTAATGCTAAACTGGATTACATGATTTTCTGTTTTAATATAAAATTCGAAAGGAATTATTTAATGAAAATGAACATTTAGTGTTAGGCGTACGTTTATTGTTCGTAGCACAAGAATTGAATATTTCTGTTATTAACTGCAGTTTCTTGAACAATTTGACAACAAATAAAGTTTAGTTAAATGCAATAATGACTTGACCATATAACATAAGAAATTAATGCGTTATATGTACATTTTGTTTGTACATCAACGGTCATTAAGGAATGTTGTAATTGCACATTGAATAACTAAAAATGTTTGAAACAAATCTTTAATTACAACCAAATGCAATATAATTGTAACAAATTTGAAATTTTAATAATAGATTTTGTACAACGTTCACACTTTACTCTGTAGAGATAGAAAAAATAAATACTATTATTAAAATAAGGTGCGGAATTTAAAATACATATAATTTACTATAAACATAATTTACATTTTAATTAAACCAAAAAAGCAAAAAAAACACACACAAAATGAAAACATTTAACTAAAATCCACTCACTTTTTTTATGTATTGTATAATAAAATGCATTTTATTCTCATTTGAACAGGGTGAACGTAACAATGGCCTAAAGTCCGAATTTTCATAGTAACAAAGCGTTAGTAGCAATAAACAAAGGAAAAACTGTTTTGGTTTAATGTTACAACAAGCCACACTAACAACACTGACAACACTGGCTGCAATGGCAACACTGGCTGCAATGGCAAACAAGCTAAACAAACTTGAACGGCACACCGAAAATGTTACCACTTCCTAGCATTTGCGCATTTGCAGTGCTAAGTGCTAAAACCCCATATTTCCAAACATTTCCTAATAACCACTTTTTTTTTTTAAAAAAAAGTTATGTGCAACAATTGTTGCAACAACAAAAACGTGTACATACCAAATATTAAAAAGTTAAAATTTATAAATTGCACAGATGCATAAGTAGTTTGTTTGTGTACATAATAGCGAATTACCTCAGCATTTATAGGATTCAAATCACTTTCATCGTCTATTTCCACAACGGCCAAGTCACCTTGTCGCTTTACGCGGACGCCTGGCATAGTCAAACACATGCCGCATAGACCAAGCAAAAATATTAGACTCAGGCTGCACTTGAACGGTTGCATTGTTTACTGTGAGTTTTTTCTCTTGTTGTTGTTGTTGTCGTTTTTAAAATTTGAGTTGAGTTGTTGTTGTTGTTATTATTATTTTTGGTTTTGTTGTTATTGTATTTGCCACTTAATTGAGTTGATAAAGAAGAATTTTAATTGCTATTTTCTTTGATAACAGCAAGAAATAGTAGTGAAGTTAAAAATGTTAAGAAAAATCGTATGTTGCACACAAAACTATTGTTGTTGTAAGTTGAATCTGTAAAAGAAAAGAATATAAAATATTAGTAAAAATACTTTTTTAAACAATTTAAAGTAAATAGAGCATATTTCATGAAATAAACTTAGAATAAAAAAGTTAATATATCAACAAATTTTATTTTTATATATTTATATTAATTAATAATTTAATTTCTTTAGCTCATAAGAGTTAGAAGTATCGGTTTTTCGCTTTTCCATAATGTTTGAAATTTTTTAAATTTCTAATACTGTCAATAACTGTTATATACCACTTGATGCAATTTTCTAATAACACATTTGGACCGCAATAGTGTTTTTACATGTAATAAACTTAAATTGAACATAACATTTTTAACAAATTCTCTAATAACATATGAAATATGTTAATAACATTACTTATGAAATATACAACATAACATTTTATAATAAATTAAGCAATATTAAATTGATTAACGACAAAAAAATTTGCAACTGGAAATGTGAACTACTCAGTAAAACGAAACGCACCCAAAGAAAAAAATTTTATTCAAAAATAAAAATTTTTTCAAAACAATTTTTTTCCAGTTAATAAAATTGTTTTGAATTGTTTAAGCTACTTCGCATGCCTCAACTGCTTTTTAAAATATTTCCTTAATTATTTTTGTAAAATTGCATGCAATTGTTCAAAAAAGTTAACACCAACTCGTGAAATAAAAGTTTAAGGCCCAAACTCCAAATGGTTTTTGGTTTGACTTCTTTTTTCTGTATTCATATATTCATTATAGTCAAAAGCGTATTGTAACTTAACTTCATTACATACAAAACTTATTAATTAACAATTTACCACAAATATTAAAACGACACTACGTAGAATTGGCAGGAGCAATCACAGCAAGCAACAAGTACGCACGATATTAGCACGTTCACTAACTTTAAGCAAATGACTGCAGACGTAAGTTTCTGCGCTGATTTAGCAGTGGCCAAAACTTGGTTACAACAACCCACAGCCGAAATTAACCAACCAAAAACAAAAAAAAAGTCCAAAGGAACATTAATGCAGCAGTTTGAGCATTAAAGAGTATTGCACAAACACAATTTAACAAATTCTCACGAATTTTCACTCTCTTAAATAAGACAACGGACAAATATTGCGAGTGTATGTGTTTAACTACAAGTATGTGTGTGTGTATTTAACACTTCATGCTGGCAGTTTGAAAAAATTTACTTGCAGTCGGTGCGATCAATGTTCAGTGTTCACCGTTTGTGTTCAGTGTTTGTGTTGTCACTAATATTAACACATTAAAGCCTTTAAGTCAGGTTATGACAAAACTTAAAAAAAGCTTTAGGCGCTCATAGTGCATGAGCAACTCAAGAGCATTGATTTGCCAATAAGCAAAACCAAAGTTTCATGGCATAAAAATACACTCAATAATTTGCACACATTTGCACGGTTCAAAAAAAAAATTGTATACGAAAAAAACATTTTTTTTATTAAATTAAAACCATGAAGCTCATGTTTTTTTTTGAACATTTTTGCAATCAACTGCATTTGTAGGGTTACTCGTTTTAGCCGAGTTAGCCGAGTTAGCAACGCAAAGCCATAAGCCATAAGCACAAGATAAAAACATGTTTGCATTTTTAATAACAAGTTAAGCTTGTGTTGCTTCTATGCTTTAACACTTTTATTTTCGAGGCTGTACGACCTTTTTGAACCCAACGTATGCACTACTATTGCATATTGTCCAGCGCTGGTATGATTTTTTGCAGATTTTTTTTAGAGTTTAGAGTGGCAGCAATTGTTATCGCTACCAATTTCCATACATGCAATTTATTTGTCAAATTAAACCATCTTAATTTTGCTCTGTTCCAACATTTATGCCTGCAATTATAACCACTGGAGTCAAAGACAATTACAACCACTGGAGTCAAAGGCAATTACCTTAATTACACGTAGCACTAAAATTTGCAACAAAACTATTGAAAAGTTTTCATACTACAGTTCCAAAGTTTATGACTGCAACAATTTCATCTAATATTTATTGTATGTTGAGCAACGCAATGTAATAAATCTGCACATGCACTTGTATCTTAAATGCAACCACTTTAACTAATTTAATAATAAGGCAAAAAGTTGATCACCGAAGTTTAGACTGTTAAGTACTTGTAGATTTCTGCTGCTTATCATGTCACACTTTAATATATCCACTTCAAAATATTTTCACAAAAAAAAACCTCAACATTTTAAAGGAAACATCAATCAATCTTTCAAAAAAATCTGTGACTTAAACCACAAGGGCCTTAACAAAGCGCAAATTCTATAAACAAAGCAATTTTTAGCAGAAAAGTACCTACCATAGTTTTTTGGTTTTAGTTAGAAAAAAAACAAATTATGATTTAAAAATAACTTAAAATCATTAAAATTTAACCACTGATTCCGTTAATTTTTGACAGTATATTATAAAAAGTTGTTACTCTAAACAAACAAATTTGACTAATTCATGGTGAAGTGTTAATCTTCAGCATGTTGTGATACTTAAGCACTTTGACCTGCTTCTCATTTTAATTGCCTTCTTCCATACGCTTTTGTTTAAATGATATATTACCAAAGTTCATATACTGTCTGTAGTTTTTATCTAGAGTTAGCTGATGCTCACGGGATAGCATTTGAAAGACTGCCAATATTGTAAAGTTAAATACAGTATTGGGTCAGAAACTAGAATTATATCTCAGAATTGTATTAAAGATCTTCACGTACACGTATTTTTTTTTTTGTGGCGAAGCGAAATGGTATGCCTACGCACTGACCACAATCCGGCGCCCCGGAAAGTGAGTACCCGAGACTAGCATGAATTAAACCGTTCCCCCTAATTCCTAGAAACCATTGTCCTATTTCGGTACTATGTTAGTGTTACTTCGAGGTAGTCATTTAAGACTAGATAAATAAATAAAACTGCAAGATGTTCGAGTTAGCCAGACAGGACATTATAGATAAATGAAAAAAACATTTGAACATACCCCTCGCTACTACCTTATGTGTGTTACACAAACTACAGTAAGTAATTTTACAGTATTCAAACAGTTGCATTAAGCTTCATTCCTTTTACCTATAGAATGCTTAAGTCCTATAAAAAGCTCACAAATATGCTTTCATCTGAATTTACAAATCTACATTACAGCATATGATTGTATTATATCTATTATCGAACCTTGCTCTATTGCAGATGTAAGGTTTTTATATAGAAACCTTATCTGTTCTACCTCATTCTTACATTTTGGACTCAACCCGCTTTTCAATGCTATTATCAATTGCTCTTTGTAATCATTATAAAATTTTCTTGATTTGGATTGCGGTCTCTAACTTGTGCCAAGACTTTAACATCGAACGTTGAGGATTTGCTTTCAGAATATATATAAGTTTTCCACTTTTCTCTATTGATTGATTATTAGCTGTTGATATATTGATTATATCCCTTATGTATATGACAGGTTCATCTGTCCCTTCTGCAAATAAAGGGATATATGTCACTTTGAAATAAAAAAAGCCTTGCATTCTCATTAAAATACTCTGAAAATACATTTAGTTTTTTGTTGAACTTATTTACGGATCACATTCGGTTAAAAAACGAAGCTAGAATATTGAATATTACTCTTATTAACATCTTCGCAGATATGAGGCTGACTAAGGGGGTACTTCATATTTAGTTTATCATTATTTCACGTAAGGTTACTAAAACATGTTAAGAATTTATTTTTTAGACTAACCCTAGTTAACAACAAGATCTTCGCTTTTAAGACATATTTATTTGAGTCCCTAGGATCAGCATCACACATATCTAGTATATGTCTTTTAAAGATATAATAACATAAATTGAAGATATACAAAACTTAATTAAGTTAATCAAATATTTTGATATCTTTGCAAAATTGATTCAGACTTTAAATTATTTAATTGCTTGCAGTTTAATTCTCATAGCTTATGACAAATAATAATACTTGTGATAATAGCTTATTATGGTTTGATATTATATAGAAAAATTAAAACTTTTTTAATAATCGCTCAAATTAATTCATAGAAATCCTTGGCATAAAAGATAAAACAAACATATACTTAAACCTCATGCCAGAGGTTAAAAGTACAAATAGAATTTTAAGCTAAATTTAACTTAATTACAGCATAACACATGAGATAATTAATATAAAAAAGATAAATGTTGTAAAAATGAACCATAAAAATGTAATTGACTTAAAGTGTTTATCTTGCAATTAGTAAGACAAAAAATATTCCGCAAAATTGAAGTAATTTTGTTTTTATTATAGTGCAAGTACGTTTTTATAATGAAAATATTTCTCACGTTTCCAAAAGAGACAAAAATCAAAAATCAATTAAAAAAGTAGATAAAAAATTATATTTTGCCGAAACCCGGGATTGAACCGGGGACCTTTAGATCTTCAGTCTAACGCTCTCCCAACTGAGCTATTTCGGCTGTTAGATAAGTTCACTTAGTGATGGCAGGCAATGGTTTTCAATGAAATTCAAACACGTCGGTTTTGCAAATTTTGCACTTAATTAATTTTATTATATTCGCATACATTTTTAATTACTGCAGATTGTCAACAAATTCAATTAAATGCAACTCATTTAGAAGTCCACTTCAATAGTACACTTCAAATATTTCAAATGAATTTATGAAGTCCATAAACGCTTGTGTACGCAGAAAATTATTCGAAGGTAAACTGAGATTTAATGAGGTTTAACACACTTTTTTTTCTTTATATTGTAGTTTGTTTAAGCTATTAAGTAATTATTTCTTACATTGTTTTCGTTTTCTAATAAAAATACATTTTTTTTAATTTTGCTAAACAGGTGAAACCTGTGTTTCATATTAGATTAACATAAACCTCTTAAAGTGGGTCAAAGTTCTTGCCACAACAACGCAAAATTTTCATTTTTTATTAGAATTTCATTTCGCAGCGATAAGACCGTACCGATTCTGCCATTGAACATATAATCAAAGCTCATAAAACGAAATTATTTAGAATAATTTATTTAATATGTGTATTTCATAAACCACATGTTGGAAAATATATACATATTTGCATACTGTGGCATTAGTCTATACTTGGTTCTTAAAAATTAATCAATCTTCAATGTCAATTCTTTTAAACGATCTCAATACTAACAAATAAATTAATTATTTAAAGTAAAACATATACATATATGTGACTCATGCTGATCTTGTTCTATTGATAAGTCTATTTATTATATATTCTTGATTTATACATATGTTGAATTTATAAATGTTAAGTATATGTACTTTATGAGTATATGCTTAATAAATATTTATCTTGTTAATAAATAATTAATGTAATAATGTATGAAATATTTTTATCACATTTCCATATTATAATAATTTCAGAGCCAGACATATTTTCCACTGCCAGATACTTTTTTATAAAAAAACTTAAATACTTTAAATAACTTAATTAAACAACATAATTTTACATATAGTAGTCGTTCTTTAAAAAATCAATGTTAATATATACAACATAAATGTATATAGAAAAAATATATGTAGCATTAAATATGTAAAATTTAAGTAGCTCATGTCCTTGTTACATATAATTTATTTCCTTTCTAAATGTCCATTTAAAATTTTTAATCAAAATTTGTATTTTTTCATTTCTGATTAAAAATCTGTGGTAACGTCATATCAATTCCTGTGAACAGTTTAAGGTCACATCAGCCTTTAAACAGAATTAAAATAATTCGAAAGGCTTTAATGATTTGTGCATTTCATTTGCAGCTGTCCTAAATATCTTCTGTTAAATGAATAACAGAATATGTTAATAATAAATGGAATTAAAAGAGAAATGTCAGCCACTTCATTACGATTTACTAAACAAATTAATTTTAATATTGCATTTTTGATATATGCAAATTAT